TCGTGTTGGTCGTTGGGATGCGGAAGAGTGGCAAATAGTCGCGTTTTAAAATGCAATAGAGTTCAGTGTTCAGTCGAGATCGCTTAACAGGTGTTCAATATTTGTGCCTTCGTTGTTGTGGTTTTTTAATGTCATTAATGTTGAAGCAATCGTCTCCGGTACGTAGATAATCGTTGGTTGGATGGCACTCTGTCGAGACTGCGATAAAACATGGGTTTCTCGGTAAAAAATAGCGTTAGCAAAATTATCGTTGGTAAGCCGTTTTTCATCCTATCTGCGCAAATAAAATTACGAATATTATTTTGAAATTATATTTAGGCTCTAGGACTAAAAACTGGACACTGGTGTCAACATTGGCGCAGTTACTGTAGTTTTCGTTTATCAAAATAATTGTACATCGCGCAAGCTTAGAAAGTTTAATTACTTAAAAACTATTTTTTTTTCAATTGGATAAGATAGAGCTTACTTGTTGTTACAACCATCGTATCGGTTGTACATTATCTTCATCCACAGCTCCGTAAATGAAATACCTGGAAGTAACAAAGAAGCGATCAATCATTTTCTATTATCATGTTCCATCAGTACTAAGGATGATGGCTTAGCGATGATTATAACTTCCACAAAGCCATGTTTCGTCTGAAACCACCGATACTATAAGAATTTCAACGTTATCAGCAGACTACCGAAAATTGAAAGAAAATATATTTAAGATTACCTTCGTTCAAAAGGTGGGCAACGAATGTAATCTAACATGGAATAATTCACTAATGTGAACTGCGTAAGTTTGGAGACATGGGTTTTGTTTTCGTGGGTGTTTATGACGATAATTATATCACGGTATCATTCATGTTGGATATTGAATTTAGCGAGGATGGTAAATTAATTTCTGTGTCATCAAAATTGTTTTAGGCACGGTCACTTTGTACCTGTTCTGATATGTGCTGTGTGGTTAGTTGAAGGTTAACACTAAAGTTTACCCAAGCAACACACATCTATCAAAATAGGTTGCTTCAACTTGATTGTGACTGAAATAAGGTGTATACAAGTAACCTTAACTGTTAAATGACAAGTGTGCTGCTAGGGTATGCTAAGGTATCATAGAAAAGGGAATTATAGCATTCCCTCCATATATGCGGTGGGTGGTAACGCCCAACCACCGCTATTTTTCAGTTGTCCTTCAACCAATTACGTTGATTTTATGTATGTGATTAGTGTCAACCATTGACTAGGTAGTTATCTACAGAAAATCAGCTCAATTTGTTTAAGGACAGTCGAGGAATAGCGGTACCACCCACTACATATATAGATGTACACATATATAGATGATTATGTTTAAGAAAATCACATGAAATTTTACACTATTAACTTAATAAACTTCACAGTTTTTTTTTTACTGATGCATAATCAACAGGCAGCAGCAGTTGTCCATTCGGTGTGGATCACGCAATCACATACCCAGAAGAAGCTATTGACTCGGTGTGTTTTGTTCATTGCGTGCATGAATGATGCAAATAAAATTAGTTGGCTGGCGTCAACCACAAATTATGTAAAAGGTTTTTTATGTTTTTAAATTATTTGACTCTCCCTCCCTAGAAGGAGACTTAAGATTTTAACTGATCGTCCTTCCCCCTAAAATCGTAGTATGTTTTAGAATTTAAATAAAATCACTGAATATTGAGTTGGAAATAATTTAATAAAAATAATCACATATTGATATTATCATTTGATGCATGTTCAGGTATTATGGCATAAAAACTGTTAAAATTAAATAATTTTTTTCGAACTGTTAAATCTCTTATAAGATAATCTATTACATCTAATGACCTCGAAAATGGAAGTGCTTTAGACCTACCTTGGGTGAGATTGACAACATCGTGGATACACTGGAAGAGATAGCGCTTATCATTAAGTTCAAGTCGGAGGAGTCTATGGTGTGTGCATTTAGAATAAACTGATATTAATTAGTTTTCCATTATGCAGATGGAAACGCATGTGGATGACAATATTCATATACAATACATTCAATATGTGCGAGCGTGAGATATTTCCACCTGAAGTCCCGGATTGTGATCTAGCGTTGGCATTGTGGAAATATAAAAACGTGAAGCATGTCGTCCGGGAGAGATTCTCTGTCAAACTGCACCTTGACATGCATACTAGTGGATAAGATGTGTGTGTATATGAACGTGAACAATTTGCATCGCCTCATTTCCTTAATTGGAAGAGAAAATTTGATTTATGACGGGATTAAGAACAAGTGTTTTTTTTTGCAAGATTGAGGGGTACCGGACGAATCTCTGCCCTAAGTTGACGGCCTGTAAGCAACAAAATGATGAATGAAAAAAAAAAAAAATTAGATGAAAAATGAAAAAATGAAAAAAGGACGTAAAACAGAGTGATAGCAGTACGTACGCAACATGGCTTTGGTGGTGCTTCATTTTTTCCTATCATTCTTATGAAGGTTGATACATTTCTTCAAAGTGCCCTGAAGTTCTTCAAAATTTCCAGAATTTCTACGGAATTTCCAAATTGAGCAGGAGCAGAATAGCGGCGCCGGTGGTGTAGTTGTAAGCGTGATTACCGCTCACCCCAGCAGGCCTGGGTTCAATCCCAGTCGAAACCACCGGGATGTTCTGAAGTAAAACATCTCTCACGCCTTCCTTCGGAAGGGAAGTAAAGCCGTTGGTCCTGGTTCATGAGTTGATGGGTCGATAGGTAGGGTCCAGGTGTGGAAACTGCTTCCCTGGCGTCGGTAGCATTGGTAGCATGAGCAGCATGAGCAGCATGAGCATTGACAAGCATACAATTCAGTAGTTGATACTCCGTGATTGACCAGATCTAGCTAAATTTGCACAAAGAACCTTTGGTTTTGGTTCTAACCCACGGTCTGCTCAGTAAGCAAATGTGGCCGCTCTAAAGCGACCGTACCCCTGACGTCATAAATACGACCGACGATCTTTCAAGTCAAGTTATACAAATGAAATTACGTTCGTATTTTGTACTGCGCATTTTTCATTTGAAGAAGAACCTGACATAACAGGTTTGCTCAGTCGTAAAAATGTAATCAGACTGAAGCTAGAAGACTAAGGAATCGTTTAAGTACATGTAGCGAGGTGTTTTGGTGAGAAAATACAGCGAAATTATCGTTTAAAGTTTGGTTGCCGAAAACAGTCAATGGATGCCGAAGCCATCATTTATTCTGTGTTTTCCGATCACGTACTGTCTGAGAGCTCATTCCAGAAGCTTCAACATGAAGTTTTCATTAATTTCTACAAAGCACCCCCAATTTCTTCGATTTTCTCTAAATTTATTCTCTCCGAAATTTTTCGAATTTATCATAAATTTCCTGAATTTCAAAGATGCCCTCTGATTATCTCTAATGAGAATAAAAAAATCACTTAACTTCAGCATAGTTCCTTGATTTTCTATAAAATTCGCTACATAACTTACAACTTAGCTAATTTTCACTCATTTTTCTCAATTTCTACAAAACTACTAAATTCTGCAAAATTATCTAGAGTTGCAACTGTTAACTGAAAGTTTGCTGGGCTTTCATAAAAATAGCTGAATTCCCTGAATTGCTGCACTTCTAGAATGTTTTCAGAACTTCACCGCAGTTCAATGAATGTCTATAAAGTTCTACGATGCGTTTTGAAGGTCTTTGAAGTCTTTTAAATGGGATTCTCATAAAAGTTCCCTTGTAGTTAAAGGAATTATGTTTAATTTGCAAATCTTAATTATTTATTAAGCATAATGAACTTAAAATAGATCAAAAACGATTAAACGAGTTAATTATATGTTTGATGCGATACTTTAATTTAAAAGCTACAACATAAAGTAAGAATGTTTACACAGTTTTTTTTTCAATAACAAAAGATGCACTCCAATCGAATTTTCTTTTTCATTTCGCCAATGCGTTTGTACAGAATTTAAACTCGTAGTACGAATTTGAAATCAAGAAGTAGTGTTAGGTGTTTAACAATATCTCAACAATTGTTGACTCTTTATGCAATCTTAGAGTACCTGTGGAAAGGTAATTCAGAAGCCATTAGAAACATTCAATTTTGGTTAAAAATCCGCTCGAAAAAGAGAGGCTAAGCATGTTAGGTTGTGCCTAGTAGATCCAAAATTATATCCAAACCCTACTTTAAGTTTCTTAAATCAATAATTGTCCAGTTAACAGCAGCCGAATTTCACGTGAATAAATCCCAGTGAATGTAAAACGCGATAGATTTTGGTAGCAAATATTTGCTCAGTAATTCATACGTAATATCACCCCGAACTTCTTATCAGTTGTTGTTTTTGCATTTTGTAAAACAGTTTGTTTTTTATTTCACAAGACAAACATCTCGATAAATGGGTTGCTTTAAATGTTTACCCATAGACTCTGTAAACGAAAAGCTGCGACATATGAATCGGTACTGATCGCAAGATAAAATAGCAATAAATACCACCGGCACACTGCTTTCGCGAGCTAAAAGTTCAATTCTACAAGTACGTACTGCTCCCGAGTTCTGGGGCCCAGTCGGCTTCCTATCGAAGGAGATAACGAAACTTACAAGAGCTACTGTTTCAACTTTATCATTACCGTCACCGCTCAAGTGTAGTTAGTGTTGGCATCGATGATAAAATACTGATTTCCGAACGCGTGTGTTTCAGCGCATGAGTTTATCATTCAATGTAAGCCCCTCGTGACCGTTGAGATAATCAAGTCGTTCGTTGACACCCTTTGATTTTTTTTTTCAATTTTAATTTTTATTTTTGAACATTGCGATAACTGAAAGCCTTAACCGTTGGAAGTTGGTTTCCTATTGTCAGGTGCCAGTAACGATTGCGCGCTGGTCGGTGATTGTTCAATTTTGTTCATCTCGTTTCTTCGTGTGCGTGCGTGGTTGCTAATCATCGTTACGTTTTGTTAGAGCCAAAGGTGCACAGCAGTTTAAATCCTGGTGAACGTAGTATTTAATACCAGTCTTTCTTTTCTCTGTTTTTATTTTCAGATTTTCCGATATCTGTGAGTCATTGAAGAAAACACTAAAGTGTGAGTTGTGATTTAAATTGCGTATTTTGAAAATTTCGTGAGTGTATCGCTTCAGAATAAGCAGGATTCATGCTGTTTGAGAAACAATGAGCCGAAGAGATAACAACGTAAGGAAGCTGTCTTTCCTGGGATTCAATACTAAGGAGGTAAGTGGTGCTGTAGTGTAGTGGGAGTCTAAGAGTTTTGCTCTCTAACAGAACGCTGGGTATCGCCAATCATCAGAAACATACACAACCTCTTAAACTCTTAACATCAATAAATTGGCCATTGCTTAAAGCATAAGCATGAATAATATTCTCGGTTAATTTTTTTTTGTAACTTTATACATCGCCATTTACTAAATGTTCTACCTTATTCTCAAATAACAGTTCGTGTAACTAAGATTATATTTATGTTCAAATAAAAGCATTTATTTTCAAAAAATCTGTTTTCATCACGAGCAGGGCTCCTTGCACTCACTTGCTATAATTTTTTTTTTTCAGAATTATGAAATCATGAGATGGTATAGTGCTAATTAGTGCTTGTAAGTTACAAGATGAGGACGTGAAGTATGTGTTTGACACATAAAATCTGTCAATATTGCTTTCAGTGCGTCACAAACAGCAATTTTACGACTCGTGAGTGCTCACTCTGAGTGAACGCTCACGAATCATAAGATCGCTTATTGTGACGCTCTGAAAGCAAAATTGACAGGTTTTATGAGTCAAACACATACATTAAACCGTCTTCTCATTACTTACAAGTACAGCATATCATTATATCATCTAATGATTGCATAATTCCGAAAAATATGCTTTTATAACAAGTGAGTGGAAGCAACCCTGACACGAAGGCGTTAAGGTTCCCGTAACTGAAACACATTTTTCATAAAGATTTTGAAAAATGCAGTTTTTTTTTATGAAGTAACTATATGTGTGTTTCAAAGTTGCAGCCTCGAGAATTTTACTTTACATCAGTCGTAATTTAACTCGTGAGCAGTGAATTGCAGCATAAATTTTGGATGTAGCTTTTTGTCTTCATTTTTTGGACTCGTAAGACAGGAATAGGTCCTACATGATCCCATATTAGTGTTACACCCTATTTATAAACTCAGTAACATGAATTTTATGAGAAAAAGGCAAATAGCGAGTATGAGTAAATGAACATTAAAAAAATGTACCTGAATAGTCCCAATTTCAATATTTTTCATGCTTATGCTTTTGAATACGACCATTTTATTCATTTTTAACATTGAATTTACTGTATGCCTCATTGATGTTAATATAAATAGTTAGTTTCTTCAGAAAAGATGCATATTTTGATGTTATTTGAAACATGTAAAACACACTGAAAACATAAAATTCTAAATAACTATAGAAAACTAGTTATAGATAGTCTTATGAGAATTGAAATATGCTGTATTGAGTAACATATCCTAAAATTCATATTTCTACAACGTGTTACCGTATGCGTGATAATGTTTGCACCATTGAGCAATGTAAAATAAAAAAATCTCAAAAATTTTGTTTTCGAGTTTTTTTTTTTATTTAAAGGGAGCTTGCTGTAGTCGGGTGGCGTTTAAAACAGGCCTTGGCCTGTGTAGACATTGTCATCTTCTGGAATGAACACCGGGTCCATTTTTTGCCATCGAAAGCCACCAATCCAAACACTTTAACGCTAGCAGGATGCTTGGTCAGATACATGTGCTCGTCGGCAACGTATTTTACCGGAAGAGAACTAATATACCGGTTGGTTCTGGAATTTGATACGGGATCGACGGTAAACATGCTCTCGTCATAGAACAGGATTACCGCATGTTTTCGCTTAAGAAGTTCAAGATTTTCTTGCATCGTTCGACTCGTAGCTCCCGGATGCGGTTGGTAATTATGCGAGTTTTTTCCGTGCCCTCTACTTCGCCCCGCAATCTTCCTTTACGATCTTCACTGATCCCGTGTTCCTTTGCCATTTTCCTTATTGAACGCACTGGATTCACCCGAATCTTCCTTTTGATAGCAGCGATAACCCTTGGAACCCGAGCTGACCTCGGATGACCTGTGGCCACCTTCGCGGATAGTTGTCTTTTTGCGACATTTGTGCGTGGGACAAATCACGAATACGCTGCAACTTCGTCATGGTGCAACTGTCAAACTAAGTAATACATTTTCTTTTATACACAGCCTACTACGGTATGAGCAATAGGTTACGTGCATGCAAAGAAAACCAAGGCATTATATGCACAGGTGAAACGGGAACCTTATTTGTACGATGGTGCAAACATTATCACGCATACGGTAGAAGACATGAACCCGTTATCTCAAAAAGTTATTAAGTTATAAAATGGTTGTTTTTTTTTACTATAGAATATACAAGTTCCAAAAATTTAGAGTGAATACTCTTCCCGGAAAATTTTATTTGACGTTTTGGGATTTTCACGGACATTACGTTCTTTAAAATTTCATAACTCAGTAATCATTGTGAAACAGGGTAAAATTGACTTTAAGGACGTTCGTTTTCTCTCCGGATATTTTTTTATTACATATATTTTCGGTTGCTGATCCATACCCCGAACTATACTGGCTCTGCGTCCCTGCGGCTTGCCGTTGACGTTTTGAAAGTGAGGAGGAACCTTCATCGAACTCGTTATGTTACAGTGCTGAGCCTGATACTTGGTCACTTACATTTAGAGCAATCGAACACATCCGGCCAGAGCGTATGATCACCGTAAGGCGGACCGTCTATGTTCGGAACTGCTACACCAAACGTGACAGGACTGCTTGCTACGGGTTCACTTGGACTGATTTGGTGAGGTTGTTCTTTCTAGTTTTATCTATTTAAACTTCATTTCGATGAATACTATCTTTGATTTGGGTGAGACTCTTCCTTTTAATTTGTTTACATTATACAATTAGTATTCTTAAAAAAATACCAAATAAGGCTGGAACAAATCTCAAGTTTTTCTTTTGTCAACGCCCCACCCTTTAAATTTTGGAATATAACAGAGGGGGAAATTAAAAAAAAATCAGTGTACATTTATTTTTCGAGCATCGCTATTTCATTTGGGTATGGATATTCGCTTTGCTAGATTTTATTATGTTGTAGAATATCACCTTGTTCTTTTACAGAATTTTTACTTAAATCGGTACTAGACCGGTACGGCATAACAGGTCTTTGAAATCGGATCAGCCTTGTTGAAAACGGATTTTATCGAACTCATTCCTAATCTTGCTTGGCAGCTCACTAGGTAAGCCGCTTACAATCTGATTGACCCCCCTTGTTTGCTGCGCTCATTTTCGTCTTGTTCGTTATCCGACATTGTTACTTAATGAATCAATTCTTTTCTAATGTGGTTAAACAATTTCCGAGCTAAATCCAATCTTTTCAAAATTGGTTAAAAATTTTTAGAAGTGAGACCAAATCAGAAACGATTCAGGAAATTCATAATTCAAAGCAGATTCAAAACTGAGTCGAATAACTCATCAACACTTTTCTAACTGAGTCTAAACCTTTCTGTTATGTTATTCAATCTTTTTTTAAAGTTGTCAAAGCTTTCCTGAAGTGATCCAACATATCCCGAACCTAAGCTTTAAATAATTGGTTTCGCATTGTATGGAGTGAGACCACATTAACTGATTAAATCTCTTTCCTAAATGAATCCAAGGTTTCCTGCATTGATTCAACTTTTTCCGAACTTTTTTTTTCTTTCTTTATTTAGGAGATTTTTAGCCGTAGGCTTGTTCATCTCAATTTTTTTCGAACGGGATCCAAACTTGTCTGGACGCGTTTGACAGTTTCCTAAGTGAGCCCTAGATTTTTGTTAACTTGGCATTTGTCAAGGACACAATCTTGTTTAGCTTTCCTAAAAGTGTAGAGATCAGGGTTGCTTCCACTCACTTGCTATAAAACAATGGTTTTCTAAATTATGAGATCATTAGATGATATAATGATATGCTGTACTTGTAAGTAACAAGAAAAGGGTGTAAAGGATGTGTTTAACTCATAAAACCTGTCAATTTCGCTTTCAGAGCATCACAATCGGCGATCTTATGATTCGCGAGCGTTCACTCTGAGTGAGCGCTCACGAATCGTTAAATCGCTGATTGTGACGCACTGAAAGCAATTTTGACAGGTTTAATGTGTCAAACACATACTTCACAACCTCTTCTTGTAACTTACAAGTACTAATTATCATTATCACATCTAATGTTTTCATAATTCGGAAACACATTTTTTTATAGCAAGTGAGTGGAAGTAACCCTGGTAGAGATGTTTCCGAAGTGAACCGACACCTTTTGACGTAGGACTACGTCTGTGATCTCTGTATGGGGGTATACTTTGTGAAAACCGGAAATGGAACATGTAGCAAAATTATGAAAGATTTTGAACGTTAATAACTCAGCTGCCCCTGGAACAATTTCAATAATTTTATCACTAATCTATCAGAAATATTTCTACGCATCTGTTAAATTTAGGACTTCATTATTTTTCAAAATGTCACTATTGAAAATTGCACGAATGTGTAACGGTAACTATGATAGTTAAAATTATCACCGATTCCCTGCGAAAAGCGATTTCCCTAACACAGACTTCAAAGTTGAATTTCATCCGGTCTCACAAAATGGTGTGTATTCAATCAACGCGTGGTGAGTGGTGGTGTTCTCCAGTACACAACGACTCCCCGTAAGCAGCGAGCTGCAGTCCACATGAGCATCCATAGAAGGAGGAAGAAGGCACACCGCTATTGATCGGAATCAGTAGCTCTTCATGAGTCGCTGTGAGCCATCTATGTCAAGCACATCATACTAAAGAGTATAAAACGAGAGAACCTGCTCAAAGTCCTATTCCTACATAAAATGCAAGCTTCTGCTGCAGTTAGAAAATAAGATTGATTTTGTAAGACCACGTCACCATTGCGTACAATCCCATAGGGCTGTCCCTTGTAGTTTTTAGTTTAAAGTTTCCAAATGGAGTCCAACCTTTTCTGAAGTGGTTCAATACCTTCCTTAGGGAGTCCAAACTTTTCTATTGAGTGATTGAATCATATTTAATGTTAGTCTGAGCTTTCCTGAAGCTATTTAACTAACTTTCAACAAAGATTCCGCTCTCCTAGACCCCTTATTTGTTCTTGTGAGATTCATATCCTTTGAAAATTAGGCTGAGATTTTAAAAA